TTTCTTCCATCAAGTTCCATATCCAACTTGACTTCTTAAAACCACCCTTTACCTTTCTTTTCTTCAAAATACGAACAGCAGAACCTTCTCCCTTCTCATTATTGTATTATTACTTTCTCCTATTATAGTGACTTAAGGCTCTTCTTTCGTTTTTAATTTCATTAATTAGATGAATTAAACGAGAATTTATTTAGGAAATTTTATTCCAGTTAATATTTCAATGAATATTCATTGAACATTCATTTTTAATTTATTGTATATTCAGTCAATCAATCAACGACAAAATCAAATACCCGATTAACCAAATATTCACTGGATATTAACTGAATATTATTCATTGGGTGCAACCTCTGCTTAAAAATGCTATCAATGATGTAAAAATTAAAAATTCGTATTTTTTTCATGCGCATGTCACATGCAGCGTCACAAAAAGCACAAAGACGAAAATAACTATTATCATATTTAATTTTTTTAACGAATCAATTGATAAGCTTTGGAGATCACTATCTAGAAAAACCACAGCATGAAACAGAAAGTTCAATGCAATCTTTGAAATTATTGAGACATACCTAATCCAGATCAAGATTACTTTGAAAATGCATTGCACAATAAAATTCTCATTCTGTAACCAATTCATTGCTTGGATCTTGTATATAGTTCAATTATTACATTACAGTGGCAAACATCCTTTTCTTGTCAGGAAGGATATTTGACGTGCCCTAAAAAGGTTTCTCTCAGGATAATTTTTTACGAGAATCACTTTTGCAATGGCAAAAAACTGTATCATTTAAATACATTTGAATGTTCTGTTAATCTTGTATGTATGGTCGCTTCTTATCCGTAAACAAGAATGAATGAATTTTTGTGTGAACGTCCCCCGATTATGCAAAATGTGTCGTCCTTTCCTAATTTGGAAATTAATTTGTGATAAATGATAAAGTTTTGTTTGTTGTGTGCAGGGCTGGCTGCGTAACTCAAATGAGCACTTGGGTAACTGGCTAAACTATTTAGTCATATGTTAAGTCAAGTTTAATCAAGTTTAGTCAAGACAATTATTATTAAATTAGGTTTATGCTGCCAGTCCTGGTTGTGTGAAATCTAAATTAGCCAATCAGAATTTCATATCCAAATACCTCACCCCAAAATTTTAAATAAAATGAAGAAAGCCAATGTGAACTAACTAGTACAAAAATAGTAATATTAAAAGATTCTGTTTCTAACAAACAAATGTAGATCTAAATAATGTAATAATAATAATGTTAATAACAACAATATATCATAAAATAATAATACGAACAAATATAATAGCAATAGCAGCAATAATAAATAAAGTTAGTACATAATGTAATAATAAGGACACCGACCAATTAACATTAAACCTACATTAACCAAGCAAGAACGATCGCATATTAACAATAAATAATAATAAGAATTATAGAATAATATTAACCATAAAGAAATTAATTGGTATAATACTACTCATTGAGAATAGAATAATACCAATAAGCGCGGAATACGTAGCATTCCTATTCGTACCCCATGTTCGACACAATATTCGAATTTTCGACTACCCGTTTCAAGTATTAGCAATGATTCAAATACTTGTTACAATTAAGGATGTTATAATAATTGCTATGTTTGCATATTTTTTATTACATGTGCCCTCTGAACTGTCTAGAGAAAGTGGCACTTTTACTTGATCAATCCGATATGTTCCCTTCATCTTCATTAAACTAGTCCCATTGTTAGATCTTTCATGTATTCTTGGGCCTTTTATAAAGTGTATTATTAGATGTTACACTACTCGGATAAGACTTTAATGAAAGATTCGAATTTGTATCTTCATTGTCAATATATATATAATAGGATGTTATTATAATATTTCGAGAGTTAGGAATAATCGAATAATTGATAGTGTTAAAATATCTTTATTTGTGCATAAACATTAAGAATGTTTGCATGTATATCTAAAATTACATATATTCGAATGGATACTAGGTGTACGTTTATGGAAATTGAATAACTATCTGATATCTGATACCAAATAACCCATTAAAAAACTATTTTGATTGAAAATTAGTGTTAAAGTTATTGTGTGTGAAATAGAAGCACACAGAAATTTCTGTTATTGAATGCTTGGCATGTCACACGTTCATTCTAAAATAAACCATTTATTATTATTGAATGCCGTTAAAATGAATATATCAAGTTTGTCTCGTGATTTATATAAATACTTTCTTTTATTCGAAGATTAAACATTTATTAATTAAAAATCCATCATTTCCTGATATCCCGTCTCCAAACATGAAGTTCATCCTTTGATGTGCCTTGAATTGGATGCATCTCGCTAGACTTAATTCAAATGCAGATTGTTTCTAAATTTGAACTAGTTCCATTGTATTTGTGATATTCAAACTTGGCGGTAACCTTTAATTCAACCGGAAAAAAGTCATTTTTATCACATAACATTAATTAAATTATAAATTAAACCGAACTTGTTAAATATTTTTCCTTTTTTTACATATTTGTTTACTAATTATTAATTGATTTGATATATCTAGAGAACGCCTGCTGCATATAATGTTTATGTTTATTTGTGAGTTCAACGAGATAGAAATACATCTTTTATTCTTGTGTAAATGTTTTGATTCATTGTTTATTTTTTTCTATTTATTAAATGAGTTATTATTACCAAACATTAATTACAAATAATAAATTATCCATTCACGCGTATGCACCTTTCTCCCAATTATCGATCATTTTGATAAAGTTTCTCGCTATCTACCTATATAATCAATATAAACAAAATATTAATATTAATATGTTATTAATATGAATATTTAATAAAAATTCGGAAAATAAAATGAGTGAGCGGGTGAGAGGTCGTATGCACATTTATTTATTATTCAAAAAATTTAGTTGGTAAGAATAACTCGTAAATGATATCACTACCTATACAAGTATCTAATATAGCCCTTAAAATAATTTATTACAAATGTAACATTAGAGAACCAAAGTTTTTTTTTGTTTGTTTCCTAACGAAAATTATTTGGAAAAAAAGTAATTTTTAAAACTTTAATCTTTTGTTTAACAAATTAAATCAGATTCAATTAAAAATTTATTTGAGAAAAATCGTAAAAAAAAAAAGTGTTAGAGATGATGCTCTAATTTAAGAATATTAATCCCAAACTACCTAAACTAGTTTCGGTTAAGGTTCCCCTAAACTAAGAAAAAGTTTTGGATC